TACCGCACTAAAAATCATAGAAGTATGGAAACGGTGCTACCACTCATGCAAGCGTAGACATCTCAATGCTAGATCGGAATGCTTTGATCAATTCGAAAGCACGTTCAATTTTGAAGTCCACTGATTGAAAAAGGAAAAAGGTATTGTCAAGAGGCATGTGTTATTGATATAGACGAATACAACTGAGGAAATTGAAAGAATTCTAGTTCCGTCAGAAATCATGACAAGCAGTATACAAACATCAGTTGTATCATCAGTGCAACATCAGGAAATTTTTTAATTAAATACTTAAATATTTCATAGACGTACAAATATGATCCCGTTGAGTGATATACCAGCAAAGAGTGCTGAATGTTACAATGATTCCAACAACAATACCTAACTCAGAAGAAGCTGTCGTCAGTAATTAATGTCGTCTGCAAGTAAACAATAATCCTAGCAGAATCAATAGAACTGATTCAAAATGCATGAGCTTCTACGTCATGCTCATATTACATGAGTCACATTGATGCAAATTACACAAAGCACCGCATTTGCACAACCGTCACTGGACTGTGGGGAAATCAATGTCTGTTTAATTACTAGTCCCCTTCCGAAAAAGGTCACGACGAATTCGTAGCTCGCGGTTCCATTCGACAAAGGGTTCAATTGTGAAGGCAGTTTTTGTCGTTTCGAAGAACTGCTCCAAATCTAATCCTAAACAAACAAATATTACTAAATGAAAGTCAAATTTCAATATCGCACGTTGCCGTTATTGGGGAGGAGAATTGTTTTGTTCACACAGCAGGATGTCACAAACGGCTTGTGCTAACGCAATCTTAATATTGCAGTGCATTGAGAAACGAAGTGGACAGCGCTAATCGGTGGAATCTGTTGACAAGTGGTTCGCGTTTCTCAAGCGGAGAAGTGAACTTACTTGGCGAAGTTGAGTGTAGAGGCTAGCGGGTTTTGAAAATTTTCGGAAACTTTCCACAAAATCTCGGGGAAAGTTGTTAAATGGTTGTTTTTCGAATCTGTTTTGAATGCAAGGGTCTATTATAACTTCCGCTTTTTCTAGATCGAAGCAGAAGAATGGTGTTTGGCACGAAATGGATTGCGACTACACGCGAGACAATTAATGAGCGTCGGGAGAAGGGGGGATTGTAGCGAGAAATTTTCACGACTCTAGTAGTAGATATTCTATCTTAGGTATAGGATACACTTTGCGAACGGCAATGCGCGATTAACCAAATTACCTTCTACAAGGAAATTCACGTCCATACAGGACTGCTCAGTGCTAAGTGCTCACGTAACCAGCTTCTGTTAAGATGAATGATTCCGACAGAAATGAAATTGGAATCAAAACACCCAGAAAATTTCCCAAGACTTCCAAATGAGTGGACCCAATACATCAAGAATCAAGCCAGTTACTCACCATATTTCCGCTCGTAATCGAACGCTTGAACAATCATGTCAAATTTGTCCAAGTGCTTCACAATCTTCGCTACCAAAGTTTCTTGGCCTTCATATTCCCTCCAAAGCTCAACCCATTGGTCACCAACGGTATTCACAGGCACCGTCGAAGCGATTTGCTGAATAGCCTGAAGGAAGAATTACTGAGCTCAAGTGAAAGATAACACATATGAAATCACACATTCAAAATACAGCCAAAAAAGTGATATTCCTACTTCCCAAGAGTAGCACACAGCCTAATTTTCAAAGGTGAAGTGAATGATGTCTAGTTTTTAAGAATAAATGCGAATAGTAATCAAGTCAGAGACGGCTTTCTGCGAAAAACCTCCAGCAAAACAAAAGACACCGAATGCGTATGTGACCAAGGTAGACGTGTGATGGAAGCTGCATTCCTACTACACACCTACTTTCCTCAAAAATTTTATATTAACACATAGCGGACCATGTGCATCACCGGTGATGCACGCGAGCAAAGGAACGGACTTCTTTCACTCGACTTATTCTGAGTGGAGGATCATTTTCTAATCTATATTCATTTTCTGAAAGCACGCTATACTGTAATTTTTAGCAAAATCAAAAAGCCGTTTCTTGTTGTACTCACCCATTCACATGGTATTCAAAAATCAACGACATAAATATGATGGAATCAGATCCTAGAGGGGTGGGGGAACATTTTGGGAATCTAGGAGTTCAGAAAAGTTGCCGAACACCGACTTTAATTTTTGTCAACTTCCGATCCACCTAAATCTCTAGATGTTTGTGCATGCTTTGACGGTGAGGTGGCGAAAATACTAGAACTGTTCATTATGTTGGGAGCTTGAGATAGTGGTTTTCATATATTTCACATGAATGCTGGGTTGTGAAACATTTGCAAGGCGAACTGCGGCCAAAAACAGCAGTTAACAATCAAAAACTAGGTTTTCACATAATCTTAATTAAGAGGAGCTATCCAAAAAGCATCTACGACATTTAAGCATAATATTGTATGTTATAAAAGGGGAGAACTTGAATACCTGTGAGTACTAAATTGTCACATTAGGAACAGCACAGATTGGATGCATTTGTAAGAAATTAATAGAAAAGAATCGAAACAGATAGAAAGAGCGTATAAAAGACGTATCAAAAAGGAATGACAGCAAAATCCAATCACCTGCCTTATTTTCTTGATCAAACTTTTCCTCATCACTAATACCACAGTGTGGAGTAATGTCACCAACAATAGCTTCAGCCAAATCGTGCACCAAACTCATCATAACTGCGCGGACAACATCCAGCCCTGGAATGAAAACAATCTTCAGTCGCATGTTGGAACCAGAATTGGGAACAAGGCCTTGCCTTCAATCTGCCCTTCCAAAGACATTGCAAGCACAGCCATGCGATACATATGAGATGCGACCGTTTCAGGCTCAGGTACCTTAATACGGAGTTTATTACATAATCGACAGTTCAGCTGAGAACAGCGCGAATACTGTCTGAGCTTTGATGATTTCGGCAACTAGCCACTAAGTTCGTTTTTTTTTTCTGGATCTAAAAAAACATATGCACCAAAAGCTGTGATCGGGCACGTAAATGGAATTCGGAGAAAGATTTTGGACACGAGTCTGCGACAAATCACCGCATGGAGCTGAACAGTGATAAAAACTGGAAGAGCATTTCGACTACAGGGGTTGGGCCAAAAAGAGTTACTTTGCCCATGGCGCACATCATCAAATTTTTCGTCGCACAGGATGCCGTTGTTGATGAATGTTTTACGGCAGAATATTCCTTAGGTGTCCCCCCATAAGCAGAAGCAGGCCCTCCTTCACTGCCCCACCGTCTTCAGAATATGACGTCATCTGCCGTCACCGTCGAGCTCAACGAGGCTTACCGTAATGAAGCTGCTACATAATTTCTTCAATCGATTAACTGGTGAATAGCTTCCCAGAGACACTAGCTGTGACTGTGCAAGACCGCTTTTGACCAGCGTTTCAGGGACGTCGTAATGGTCTATGGTACCTCGACGACCTCGTTGAGCTCGTACCGTGAACCATGTTTCCGTGGGAAAATCTTCTGATGTAGAAGGCTGTCATGTAACTTTTTGATAGATTAGAATGTGCTCTTCAATATGCAGTTGGGCTCATTTGGTTTGGTTTGCAATTGTATTAATTCCGTTTTGAATGTTGAGGACGTGACTTTCTTTGCCCCCCCCCCCCTGTAGAGTTTGGGAGAGAATCATACCCACGCAACAAACCAACAAGCTACGAATGGAATGTAAAACTTATAAAAAAGTGCGAATAAGCCTCGCTCTACTTTGCATGAAAAAGAAGCTAACTAAAAACTCACGCCCATTTTGACCCATCCTGTGCGTTTGAGGTGCTTGACCGAATCTAGAGCGGACAGTAGCTCCATAACTTTGTTGAAAGACATAATCTCTGAAAGGAAATCAAGATGAACAAGGCGATCATTGACGATAAATTGGTATTATGAGGCGGAATTAAGAAAAAAAGGTAGCGTAGTTTAAGTAAGGAATCTAGAAGCAAGGTGCGGGATTATGACAACGCGAAGACTACGAATACGACACCCGTTTTTGGAGATAGGCCTTCTGGCGCATATATTCTGCTCGCGCGCTTCCTTTCACTGGTGATATTGCACTAGGGACCAAGCCAAGAGAAAGTGAGATGGGAAAAGGGCTGACCACCCCATTCGTAATCTCGCACACTCCAACTATTGCCTTACACTGGCTCACCCAACCTTGAACCCCACCCCCTCCCTCTTTACTGGGTTTACCCATCCGTTGCGATAGGTTGTATGTGGGTTTTTTGGAGAAGGATCGAATTTTGGTGTTTTTGTTTGTTGGTGATGGTGACAATGGAGTCCTTGGTAATTTCAGAGGGGTTCGTGAAGGTATAGTCGAGGGTCATGTTGCAGTGGAAGGGTAGAGGGGATCATTTTTGACCACTATTAGGCGAAACTTCAAAAAGGAGTTTCAAATAAGCGAAACTGTGGCCATTGCCGTTTGATGGGGACAACGTGGGTGGAGGTTTCAGAATCAAATACTGTAGAAAGAGACACGTTGGTAAGAGTGGGAGCCGCGTGCGGAGACGGGGGGTGGACCCCGCTCCCCCGAAGCTTGGTGGTGGGTCGTGCCAAGGCCCCTCGAGTGGAAGTGGAGCGATCATAACTTTTTGGAATTGAAACACGGACGGCTGACATTGTGGTAAGGTTAAAATTCGAAAACATAGTGGTTCGTCTGAGTGGAAGTGAAACAAACCACCAAGTTTCTTGATTTTAACCTTAGTTTATACTCCTCATTTCCTTTCTCATTGTCCCTCCTCCCTCTAGACTTCCTCCCAAGCACAATCTCACCAAAGAGGGATAGCGCACGGCAGGAAAAAGACGCCATAAGCTAATGCATAAAACCAGAGCCATATTCGTAATCAGGACACCAAATACTCCTAACACTTGTTATCTCAAGGTACCCAGTTACAGCTATAGGCGAAATTACGACGAAATCTTAAAAAAAATTAGATTTTGGGGTTGTGGAAGTCGAATTAGGCCCTTCCCACTATGTGCCACGAAAAACAATAAATTGAGAATTCAAAGAAAAGACGGCAAATTGAACTCGCTGGGTCGCCCTGACCGTCCCGCTCTCAACGAGACTTATGTGTTGTGCAAAATTGGCATTACCGTAATCCGAACGAACTATTGCACCAAAATGCGTCTATGAGCAATGTGTAAGCATAAACCTAAGCCTACCCTTAGAGGCAGAATTTTCATGAAAAGTTAGCCCCTTGGAATAAGGGTAGAGGTGGTCACTGGAGCAGGGATGAAGAAGAAACCATTTCAAATGGGACCCCTCCTTGCTTTGATTTGGCGCATTTGGCCGATGTCAGACTTTGCGATTGGAGCGATTTTGCACCAATTGCAGGAGCGACGGATCGCTTGAGCGATGCGAGCGACGGGAGATTTACGAACTGATGGCGCCGAATTATCGTTGGTAGGCGGTGTAAATCTCCCGTCGCTCGCATCGCTCAAGCGATCCGTCGCTCCTGCAATTGGTGCAAAATCGCTCCAATCGCAAAGTCTGACATCGGCCATTGTGTCGCTCATCGCTGGCGCCCTCCTTCAACACTACGCTCTCTCTGCTGTCTAATCACTCGCTATCTAATAATCGAACCTGCGGCGAGTGATTAGATGGTCGGTGGGCGTACCCCGCCAACCGCGCCAAGAGTGAGCCATGCTAGATCGCCGAGGTCAAATCTTTCGCTGCCAGTTGCGCGTCGGTCAGCACCCTCAGGAGGTCCACCTGTCTCCCAACTATGCAATTTTCCCCTTCTTTGACCTTTCGTTTCCTATCGGCGAATCCTCTTTGAGCTTTAATGTATGACTCAGCTCTTGGTGCACCTGACCTAGGGGAGAACTACCTTTGCGCACGGAGTTGACCATTGCTAGGAAGGGAGGAGGGTCAAGAAATTTGCGCGCAAACTGTGAAGGATTCTCAAAGTGAGGTGTGTAAAAAAGCAATATTGTGTACATCGGCCGCGATCCCTCTATTTTTCTGCGTTCATGTACAGTCCATATCTCGAAGTCGGGGAGGGCGGGGCTGCGGACTACATTGCGAGCGCGTCGGCGGTTGCGTGCCTATGGAAGTTTGCCGTGAAATGTCTGTGTCAATTGTGCAAAAACACTGCCTCCTTGTCTCTGCTTTCTCTAATTCTCCTCCATGGCTACAGTCACTAGGGTGCTCTTCCGTCTGGATGTCGCAGAGTATTGACGGCCGAATCAGCTGTTTTCAGCATTATTCGGTTTCAAACTAGTATTCTGCCACTCCGCCAGGCTTCCTTCAACAGAGGTGAGTTATTCCTATCTAAGATAATGTTGTTTTACAATCATATAGCGTGGTTGTTTCACAGTTCTTTATGTTTTCGTGGTGTTTTGGCCTGATTCGTCATTTTATTCAGCTGCCTTCCTGAATTCCTTGACTTTTCGACTTGCTCTTCATTTCGGTGTCTTTGCTGTGTTCCGTTTTTTGTCTGGAACTCACACTGACACTGTTTTGAAGGTTGCAGTTGTTTTGAAAATTGAGTTTGTCAAGGTTCTGCTGCACTCACCACGACTTTTCCTGCCACGTGAGTTTTATTTTTATTTTTGATTGTTTCTTTTTTTATTCGCTGCGTCCTTCGATTTGGTGTCTTCTATGTGTTTCATTTTTTGTTTGAAACACTATTTGACACTGTTTTGAAGCTCGCAGCCGTTCTGGAAAGTGATTTTGTCAAGCTTTCACTGCACTCGCCATGATTGCTCCTGCCACGTAAGTTTTATTTTTATTTTTGATTGTTTCTTTTTTTATTCGGTGCGTTCTTCACTGCAGTGTCTTCTATGCGTTTCATTTTTTGTTTGAAACACTATTTGACACTGTTTTGAAGCTCGCAGTCGTTCTGAAAAGTGATTTTGTCAAGCTTTCACTGCACTCGCCATGATTGCTCCTGCCACGTAAGTTTTATTTTTATTTTTGATTGTTTCTTTTTTTA